TCTCTTATCCTCTCTCTTACACACACACAACACACACACACACACACACACACACACACACACACACACACACACACACACAGACACACACATACACACACATTGCAAGTAAATAATGATAAGCTTGTGTTATTCAACATTGTGAAAACATTGTGAATTGTAATAGGGAACTGGTACCTAAAATACAAGTTTCTACTTAGTTTAGGTACCAGGGAACAATTGAAATTGTAAATATTGGATGCAAAATAAAATTATTATTATTATTATTATTATTAATGAAAATTATTTAAGTTAAGTCACGTGGTCACGTGACATCTGTTATAACCCTCGTGCATTGTTATTCCTGAGGATAAAGCTATTTTGTCTTTGTATCCTGTAATTTGATAGTTAAGTATGTTTTATTTTTATAAAGCAAGGTTTTCAATGACAGAAATAGGTAAGAAGAGTACTTTGTACAAAGTGTGTTTCAGAGAACATTATATAGTTATATTTTGTAGTAAAATAAGTATCCTAATGCATCGAGATATTAATATTAATATCATTCACAAAAGACGCATAATTATGAACTTCCACAGATATGTGTGTATGTACCTTTCAGAGAAAGGCTAGAACTGATTATTTACACACAAAATGTAAAACGGGATACAGTGAAGGAGAGAAGCAATATTTCAGGCAGTCGAATATTTGTCTCCCTTTTGACTATTCAGTAAACATGGTATCAATAGATAGTAATTATTTCTTGAATAGTTAGTAGTTAGATCTCTGACGACTATACAGAAACAAGAAACATGTTTAAAATACGTATAATAATAGGTTTGCATTAGAATTTTATTATTACAAATTACATTAATTTTGTAGTTTATTATTCGTTGTAATATTTCAGTATCTTAAGTTTGATAAATTGAAAAGCTGATATCAATGTGGTTTAACAAAGGTCATTTACCTATTAAAATAGTAGTGCTGATGATGCTATGAATAATAATCATTTTTCCAAATAAAAATGGACTTTGTTCATATAATATATATTGAATACGGTCTATGTATCTATGTATGTGTTCATCGTGAGTCATAAATAAAGAAATTAGTCATTGAAACGCAATTGTGCATTAAATATAGGCACATTTTTACGTATTACAATACAAGGACTGCATTTTACACATTTAATTGACACGTGATTAGCATTTGCATTATTTAGCATTCAAAATTTAATTTTGTAATTTGACTATCTATAGAGAGCATTTTCTAGATGTAATATTTCTACAATTTTAGAACTTACTTAAAGATGTACAATCAATCGTATTTTTTTTGCATTTTGAAGTAGGTACAATGTACTACAGCCTTTTTACGGCTTCGATGGTCTAGTGGTTAAGCGCACCGTTTTACTTCCGATGGTAGCGGGTTCTATTCATCGCATGGTGATAACTAACATGTATATTTGTTTATATCGGTGTGGGTGTTTTCTATGTATATTATGTATATAGTTTAAAAAAAAATCTAAGTATTTATATCAGTTGTCTAGTACACATAACACAAGATCTGCTTAGCCTGGGATTAGATGGCGCTATATTCATTGTCCAGGGTTATTTATATTTATTTATTTATTATTTACTATAAGTAGATTTGTGGTATAAAACTTGTCATGCGTTTTAAATTCGTGCGTATTAGAACTACTGTGTGCATTAGTTTCACAATTCTCATACTGTAGAGTCGGCGTCCAATTAGAACGTTAAGCTGAGCGTATCTTCTGGCTTGAGTCTATATAGGAAACGTCTAATTATTGACATGGAGTCCACGCTAATTAATATAGAATAATTTGAAGTGCATAATCGTGTTATTTTAATTGGACATGAGAATATTTAGTCTTCGTCGTGAGGAGTATTAATTAGTATATTACAAATGTATTCTAACTGATGTAGATAAATGATTTAATCTAGTTTTTCTGACATTTATATTCCTAATGTATATATTTTTGTGCACGTATATTGTTATTATGTGTTGTAATTAAAACTTAAGACGAAATACCGACTGCTTAGTAATACGTTATGTACATTTGTTGATACCTATTTATATAATAGTAATGTACAGCCTGAACTATTCTACGTGTATTAAGTGCAATATAACAAAATAATTAATATAAAGTTACATATTAGCAGTCAACAGAACGGTTTGTCTATCTCGATGGTCTAGCAGTTTAGCACACCGCCTGATTTCTAATGATTGCGGGTTCGATTCCTAGCACCGTACAAACATTTGTAATCTGAGTACGTTTTTAAGTATCGGTGGATTAAACATGATAATAATCAAACCAAGTAAGTAGTAAGTATTGACAAGTAAATAATAAATATTGCGATAAAATACACGGATACAGTTCATAAGAAGTGGTATACTTAGGTACCAGTAAAATAAGGTACTGAAGGCGCATCAAATTTCTTCTCACGATTTTATTAATTTTCTTACAATCGCCAGTGATCCGATCAATAGCTGCATTGTGGGAAAATAAGCAAAAAGAATCGTTTTTTAAACGTCTCCCGCTAGAGGTTTTAATCCACTTGAATGTAAATACAAAAAAAGAAGATATGTAGGTAATTTTTTCAAGTTACAGTTTCCATGGTCATAAAAGAACGATGGGTTGCATGAACAGCTTTTTGTATTTAACACTATTAACCTGTTTGCGGTTCTGAATCGTCACAATAAAATCGTTATCGTTGACAGTAAACGGTACTATCAGGCGGTACATGTAACATTCCCGCGAATGCGTTACAAAACCGTAAATACCACAAAGGGAACCGTTCTAAGAACCGCTTGGGTGCTTCGGCAAATCGAATTTCACAGTATTTACAGAATTGGTTTAGGCGAATGCATAATGGGCGGAAAAATGTCCGCCGTAAGTGTATTAAAGTTGGACCGTGTTCCTGCGTGCCGCGGCTGATGTATGGTCGCGGACGACAAATTGAAAACAGCGGCAAATGGCCCGATCGCGGGCTCGCGTCTCTCCACAATGGCCGCGTCGCTTCTGTTTCCCGAAATTTCCATTTCTTACAGAAAAATAAAATAAAGTAGAGGCTATTTTTATTATTACGTAATATTTTTTTTAATTATATTATAAATTTAACAGACACATAAAATATGTACTTAATTTACATTATGAAATTATTAAATATAATGATAAATACTTACTAGTAAAAAAAATATTTTTAGGAACAGGTAACAGTATCAGTAAATACGATTTAGATAAAGCAAGTGATAGAAATACTTATATTTTTTTGTAAATACTTACATGTATTATATACAAAGAAAAACACCCAAACAAGTCAGAGCCAATCATCCTGTTACTGTGTATTATTTTCATTAACGTACATCTAATGAACCATATTAAGAAAAGATAAATACTGTTTATTCAATTAAAACAATATAACCAATTAGTTTGAATAGTCATTGTTTTGATTTTATCGCTCACATAGAATAAGTTGTAACTGATACCGCAAAAGAAGTAGATATATTTATTTAACAGTTTATATTTATTTTTTCTCACGGTCTCATCTCCATATAATAAAACATAGCCATTCATAAAAATTAATTACGAATAAAATTGTATCAATAAAAAATATAATTAAAAATGTAAAATTTTAAATTGTTCCACATATATTCCCATAGTAACAAAACGAATCCGTGCAAATTTTTCTGCCAGAGAAAAAGGGGAATAATGTCATAAGGGGTGTTTGTCCCTCACAAATAGTTAGATTATATAAATAAGGCGGTCGGAATAGCCGCTCGATAGAGATCTGTGGTCCGTCGGTCGGCGCAGCCCGCTCAAATTGAGTTGGGTTCACGTTGACTTTTCCTAAAGACATTATCATACTACATAATACTTCCAGAACTTTTAGACAGACGAGATAATTTGAATGTATACAAGACGGTATCTATAATAAATAATATTGAATAACACGCTAACAGATATCAACTTACTAGAGTAAGTTGATATCTGTTGTCTGATCCAAGTTATTTTCCCATATGAATAAGAATTAACTGTTGTAGGTACAGTAAAATATAAATCACACTTCGGCAGGAATAATTAACAGTAGTTTAATAGTGTCATTTCTAATAAAACTTTGATGGTAGTTACCCTTAAAATTTGTCTCATATATCTTAACATAAGACTTAGAATTCTTATTTTATTAGGACAAACTTGTGTTATATATAAAACGCATCAATTTAATTAGAGTCCTTTAATAAAAATATGTTAGTAACAAAAATATGAAATAAATATTAATCATATTGCTGTAATGTAAGTAATAATTTGTGGTTTGGTCATTATGAACAGTGCCGGTAACGGGAGATTGGCAAGCCTTGGACGGGACGCCTCACCGCTCACGGCGGGTATAGTAATCGTGTAGTGTTACGATTCTATTGATCTATTACAAGCATATCAACTGACATAACAATATAATATGTATGTAAAATCTTAACTAAGATCTACAATATAAATCTAGTTTCAATTTAGAGCTACAATTAACTATTATTAAAACAGTTATAGTTAATACAAAAACTATAATAAACCTGTTTTAATGTAATCTGTAAATAATCCATAATGTAGATCCAAATAATACATATTATTAAGAGGCTAAATTATAAATCAAAATACTATGATATACGACGGTATGTTTTGTATGTATTGACGATGGTATGTATTCACGGTAAGTTCTTTTAAGAATTTGCCTCGAAAGGAAAAGATGAAAAGTTTCAACAGCCATAAGAGGTTTAGAATATTATATTGATGTTTTATGTCTAAAAGTATGATTTATATCATCATACTGGGATACTTACTTTACACATACATGAGCCTGGTTAAAATATCAGACTACATATTGTATTCCAGGAAGTTTCTATAATAATATTCAGTGGTAGAATACTAACAATAGATAGATAAATTTACTTCGTTAAATATTTTTCACATTTCTCTTTAAGAAATAGTAAATAAAGAGGATCGTCTGTTGTTACAGCTTTTCTACTTAACAAGAAACAGAATAAATTCTCACGCCAGACGTACATCGCGCAAAAGATTGGCTTGGACAGTTCCGGCCTTTAGTAAGTAGGTAATGTGCTATATTTTGGTATTAAATAGGAACCCGTAAATCGTGTAAGTAGCTAAATAATAATTGTATAACTATAAAATACTGTTAAATGAGTTAAACGTATCTATATTCTAAAGCATTATTTAATTTATGGAGCATTGCCACGAACAACAGACAGGATTGTTTAACTACTTTGTTATAATATCAACATACAAATATTATGGAACAAACGTAGTAACCATTTCACAAAAACCCAATTCAGAAAATAAGGAATGCAATCTTGTAGTAGAATCAGACAAATAGCGTAGTATCTGCAGTGACCAATTCAAATTGTAGGAACGAACGGGATCTGCGTACAGGCGGGGGATAGAATCCAATCAGCGAAACTAGTTCTACTGATGCCTATCACTAAAGTTTCACATTCAAAGATTTGTTTCTCAAGATTAAATCAAAGGCGAATTACAGTAGCGGCGAAAAAGAAATATGGGCAGTCCGGCCCCGCGCGAGGGCGGGGGTGTCCTGCTGAAATTGCTTTTCAATCCCTCGGACTTTGGACTTGTAAAGAAGTTATTACCTTCCAAGGAGATAGCGGCGGGTCCGGCGATACGGATATATGTCTTTTTCATATGTAATATTCCTTTTTCGCGTTTTATTAATGGAAAATGTTTCGTGGGGCAGTGTGTCCAGCTCTCGCCTCCGATATTAAAAAAAGCCGTGTCGCCTTAGTGCGGCTTCTTTTATGAGATTGACATAAAGTAGTTTATGTCTTTCTATTGGTGTAAGTAAGTTGTTTGTGGGAAGTAAGGAAGACAAATATTTAATAATTCAATATTATTACATCTATTTCCAAACGCATGGTATGCAGAAAGAACCGAGTGGTAATTTGAATTATTAATTGTGTGCAAGCCTATTGTACTTTATACCGATGTCAATGCAATGTGATAATTATATTTCTGTATAAAGTTCTCTTTGTGTTTTATCCTTACTGTACCTATACATACACCTGTGCTGCATTCACTGCTCGTTTGATAATGATGCCTGCTCTAATTAAGTCCACTACACCAATGTTTGGAATTAATTAGTGTATTGTTTAATTGGCATCTCTTGTTATCTGTTTGTTTGGATTATTTATTCATTAGTGGTGTTTGTGACAGCTCCTGCTGCGAGAGATGCCATTACGACCGATTGTTATACAATAATATAGAATCATATCAATTAATAAGTTTTTATTAACAAGACAACATGTGGTAATTATTTCAGTATTAAGTATTATATATGTGCAGATAAAAAAATATAAAATAATAAATATACACTTGAATAAATAAATTACACACAACAAATTTCTATAAAAATCCTTCAAACTTTTAACTTTAGTTACCAGATGTGGCTCAAGTTCGTATGTGCTCTATGCTATAAAAAAAAATATTAACCGATTAAAGGGACCATTTTTGGTACGCATTACGTACCAAAAATGGCCCATTTGTCCAACAGTGTTCGTTTTAGAGTAATTTACTTTTATTTAATACCGACTAACTTATAAATAAAATTAAAGAACATAATTAAAAGCAATATATGTAGTTTCATTCACTTGTTTGTTTCCATAATTATATTGATTTTAATGCGATGTTGAAGCCTTTTTATCGAGAGCATGTAAGATGCTATCGACTGCGTGCAATTATATGTACATATACTGAGAATAAATACAAATGATAACATCATTAAGGAACACAAATAGCTATTCAAGGAATACGCTTGTTATTGTATATTTTTAATACCTCTCAATACGTACAGGCACTAATTTATACACAACAATAAATATTTATTGTTTCGTTTTATTATGAAAGTATGGTACAGAAATTGAATTTTCCGAGTTACACTTTGTAAAAAGAGTCAGTTATCTTCAGTGTTGCTTATTTCAGGCGCCAAGCAGCTTGGTGTTATATGAATAGGCTTGAAATTACAGGATAATTATGAAAGAAGGTTGACATGGCAATTTCGCCTTCCGGATTGGTAACGATGCGTAATGTCTATTGTGCTGTTAGTGAATTTTTACGTAGGTGGGCATATTATTAATAATCCCCTTCCCCCCTGTTAGTATATATATATATCTATATATATATATATATATATATATATCAGAAATAAAAAAGTTAAAACAGATGGACCATCTCCGATGGCCGTAATTTATAAACAAAGTTTATCATGTACTACAAGTGCAAACTACACGAGTCAACCATGAGTTAATGATGTACTTAACAGTTAAAGAATTTATTAAGTATCATTATATTATATTATATCTTATTCTGTTCTATTTATTAGTAGTATAAGAATAATAAAGGAGAGTTTATAATGTCTACCTCGCAACTTCAAGCTAGTATTATTATCATCAGGGGTGATGCAGGTAAGTCCGTAACACAGATTCACAATGCGGGCTACAACAAGCCGTACATGGATTGATTACACCTGCCAGTCCTTATTAATAGAATATTGTGTGTGATTCAAATTGAATTAGCCGTCCATTGTCGAATACCCGCGCGTGTTTCGTATAGACTATTGATTCTGAATATTTAGTAGCCAATTTAGATCATGTTAGCATTGCGGTTCAATGATGAAGATATGGGAATTTTTGAATTGATAAATAACTGATTGTTTGATACTATCTACAACGAATTGATTTATTAATAATTATTTTATTGGTTTTTGGAATAATATACCTAATTTAATTCGAGTATACATACAACCTATTACAAAAACAAGAATATTGTCTATTATGTTTATTTATTTGTAATTATATTTTATTATGTGCCAATTTTGGAAATCCTTTTTTGATGGTAAGGGTTGGTTTTATTAGTAGAATAACTTGTTGCTACTCAGATTGTATAATGTTTACTAGCGTGTACAATGGCGATGGATTTTTGTAAAACTTTATTTAATTTGCAGATAAATATTATACCTTAAATATTTAAATTTATTAAAAGAAACATTTTTCTTAAAAATAACATTCGCCTAAACGATACTAGAGTAAAAAAATAGTAAGTTTTTTACATAGCTTCACATTTTGTGATTATATTTTGATTACTGAAACTGAATATATATTTTTCAAACATTAATATAGTCTAAATACAGCAACTTTAAAAAGAATATTATGCATGTAGACATTATCTTCAATCATATAATCCCACGGCTATCACGCCAATTTATGTTTAGTTAATTACCATGAAAAATATTTGTGAGAATTTCCATAGGTACGGGACCGGTTCGGCACGGCGAAATCCCAACCTTTATTTTATTTGTTATTGTCCCCCATAGTTTTTACGATCAATTGACCACGAATATGTTCCAATATTTGCTTAGACTGTTAAAAAGTACAACAGCTGAGAGCAGAGCACTGTTTGCCCAGCTGTGGTTCCGTTTGTCTGTTTATTTGCTGTTTGGTTTAATTACTTACTTTTCATTTATCTATGGACTAGATCAGCATTTTTTCGCTTTGTGGACTAGATTCAATGGATATCTATTTTTGTACGTTTTAAATTTTGTTGAGGTATGTGCTTTTTAAACAACGGTGTTGGATGTGCGCAGTTAATTGGAATATATAATTGGTGTTCGATTTCTACCAACGGTGTCAGTAGATAATTTATTATTTTTACATTTTTCTTTTCTGGAGTATATATTGCCAAGTTTTAAAAAATGTGTGGGATGTTTTCTCTGAGCTACTTAGCAATTAACAGGCGTAGATAAAAATAAAATAAACAAAGAAAAATGTACTAATTTTTATACGTTTTATAAAATGTTATTTGCATACTTTTATTACATACCATATATACATTATGAAGGATTTCGAACTGGTAAAGAAATTCTTAATATAGTCTAACTTACATATATTTTTTGTTGCAGGTAAATTATTTAGTATTTTCATCGGGTCCGTGTCGCTGATTCTATCATACAGGTAATCATTTAACCCAGATTAACTTTTGACGAAACCGTTATTGATTCAAATCGAAATCATATAAAATGTCTCCTGTATTTTCGATGGTATTTACACTATAACGATATCATCCAAAGCTTATTTCGGAAATATCCCTCTCTTCTCGTTAGTTCTCTTCCAACTTCTAAACTTCAAAGGCAAGGTCGACTCTACCTGGAACAACTTCCTTTTTAATGTCACTTGAACCAGGCTTCAGGTAATATATACACAATGCAAACTTAATTATATCGAGGGACATCCGTTCCTCTTTAAATTAAAATATTCTTGTAAAATGGTAAACAAAACCACGGAAATCTGGTCATCATAGTATGCCTGTGATATCGTGTTTTGCCATTCTGGAGTACTAAACTCATGTCCCGATACCCTAAAATAGTACCTACTTTTGTTTCAAAATGAGTATCATAACACTATTAGCATTACAAAATACGAATTTCTCTCATTATACGTACGGCACGGAGAGATGTAATACAATATGCTTGTTACACTAATTTACGTGGAAGATCATCTATGTAATCAATCCACTTACCTAGAACGCGGGGAGGCTTTGAAACTCGATGCGAGAGCTCGAGCTATGTGGCTCCCGAGCTTCGTTGGCCTCTTGGCTTCGTTAAGTAGCCGTTATTAACTAGTCAATATCTGCATACATAGTGTTTCTAAACAAATTTGATTTATCTAAATAATTAAGTTATATTTCAATGGTAACAAAAATTTTTAGTGTAATAAAATAACATTGTTTTCATTTTAGTCTTTATGTATGTATAATAGAAATACTACAATTCTCTATACATATATTTTATTTTATATACATATGCATATTGATTTTTAATGAAATATTTCATAAATATAGTATAATCATGAAAGATTACTCTTATAATTATAGTCTTACTCTTATAATTACATATATTATTTCCGACCTCCCCCGACCTATAATTGCGGCTGAAATAGATCGGACCGGTATTTACTAATTAAAATATTAGGAATTCAATTTAATTAAATTGTCGCTTCACCAAGCTAATTATATAAATTAAATTATTAACCTTTCTATTTTTGGATTAAACCACATAAATTTAACAATGTTCTATACGTAGGTTTATACGTAGTAGATATGCTATACCAAAATTTTAGAACATGTTTTTAATAACGAATCTGCAATTTACAGTTAATTGTTAAACACATGTAGGTATGGTGTATATATAGATGCATATTATATATATGCTCGCCATAGACTGCACTAAATAATGGTACTGAGTTATATGAAAGTATTGATTACTTGAAATATATGGTAGTATCCTAATATGTCGACCTTCCTGATATCTTTTAATATTTATAGTTGTAGTTTTTTGATACTTTCTATTCCATTACTCATTATATTACTATCATACAACTCGCTTTTAAGTATTCCTATATTTTCCCACCACTCATTGTAACATCTATACTTGATATTTCCACCTCATTTGATTATTTGAGGACGTCGCTCCTCTTACTTCGTTGTCATTTTATACAGCATTTGACTTTATAGAGAGCCCCTTTCTTCTCACTATTGGTTCATTGCATTACATTGCCGACCCATGTGCTGTTATTTAGTCATTTCTATGAAGGAGACAGTAAACAAGGTGACTGGTCCACTTTGTTATTACTTATTACTTTATACCACCAACATTAAAAATAGGCGCAAGAAGTAAACAAAAGGAATAAGAAACAATTAATAGAGTTTTCGTAATTTAAAATAACATGCTCATTGTATAATTCTGTAAAATTGAGGTTAACAAATTTACAGTATTTTATATTGTATTTTTAACGTACTCACGCAATTGAAAATATTATTTTTGAATTCCATATTGAACGATTTAAATATTATAATCTGATTTCTTATAGACCGATTACAATATATTTAGGTATTAGTAATGCATTGTTCAGAATATTATTAGTTTGTATGTTACATCGTTGTCTTATCGACTCTTGTTATAAGAGTATTGACATTAATAACTATTAAGAATTTATATAAAATTAACCTTAATACATCCACATAAATTCTATATTCTTAAATTTTCATCTACTAAGCTACCGTTCACACCATAGCCCCAATAATGTATAGCCACACAATGAACTATTGTTGAACGATTCCCGCTCAAAATAAGCGTTTAATTAAAAACATACGACGATTATTTTTTTATTACGACCCTTGGGTATTGAAAGCACTGATCGACGCATTATAGAATGCTCTGAATATCAACTGATTGTGTTTATTCATCTTTCGTAGAATACAGAATTGTGTACGTTCATTCTCGATTGCATTTTATGAATGTGAATTTTGGTATAATTTAATATGAAATTCTAACATTATGTAGGTATGTGCAATTATGTCGGCATTATTAAATTTTTCTGTAGTCATGTTTCGTGCTATTATTAAATTTTAAATCAATTTTTAATAAATATTGTTTGTATTTTTATATACTATAAAAATGTCTTAGTTTGGCCTAGTCGAAATTTTTAACTAATGGTACCATTTTTCAGGTTTGTTTTTTATATGAATATATACATATACTTTTTTATATATACATATGTAAATGATTTATAATTAAAAAGTTATGCAATGACAATTATTGGAGAGACCGAAATAGTAAAACAAAAAGAAATTATTGATGTACAATCTATATCGACATATTGAGACTACAGATCCGTTTAATATGAAACATATAATTTCTATGTAATATTTTCTGCGTAAATGTATTACTTTTATTGTTACCTAATCAATGAATATATAAACTTAAACAGGGAATGAAATTAAACTAGCAACTAATTGCTGCAATCAAATCAGACGGTTAACATGCTTTCATGAGTCGATAGCACGCATCAATATAGCTCGTTACTTGTTCGAATAGAAATTGAGCTTTAATTACAGTGAAGTGGACGCCACTACGCCGGGTTTTTACACAGAGCCAGATCAAAATCGATTATTCTGTTATTAGGATATTTCATGCGATTTTAGTTAATATACATACATGTTTTAAAGATTCTTATTGCGGATTAAGTAGTCAGTAAAAAAGGCATTGTCACATTTAAACGTTGTGGTGAACACATACTCATATTTCATAGAGAGTATATTGAATAGGGGCAGTCATTCCGGCGTCATACAGATTCAATTTCTTTTTTAGATTACTTTATTATTGGTGTTTTCTATGACCGGATATTATCATCATCATTAGCTCATTGGAGTCCACTGCTGAACACAGGCCTCTCACAAGGCACGCCATTTGGCCCGATATTCGCCGAGTATAATATTGTGTATGTTACATTGTTTTAATAGATTTCAAAATGAAGGGGACGGCATCTCACTTACACGATAAAGTAAATATAGAGGATACTCCCAACCCCTGGAAGACCTGTAGCTTTGAAGGCCAATCCTGCTTGAAGGGATAAAGATACCGTAGGGTAGTGGGATCGGTTTGGATTGGAATTGCCGTTGGCATGGGACAGAGGATTGATTGGAAGGGATAGTATAGAAATGCTACGAACTTCATCTAACCTACTAATAAGTCTAAACGTACTTGTTGTTACATACGATCAAATTACAGTGCGATCAACCGTGTATGCATTCTATGCACTCAATTAATCAGTGACGCGAATCAACCCGCACTCAAACCAGATTAGATCCAATTGATACGAATTGTTTAATTTAACATACCTATTTGTTGGTTGGTTTAATTATTTCGTTTTCGAATTATAGATAACTAGTTATTTTGATGTAAATGTGTTAGAGTTGTATGTAATGCTGCGAGCATAATAGCTCAGCGGTTTACTATTTCGACTTGATTGCAACGGACGTGAGTTTAAATCTGATAGACATAAAGACTCTTTGTTTATCTGTAACATAAACACATTAACATCTCACTTTCTGGTTATGGAAACACCGACGACAAATCAAATTATACCGATAGACGGTGGTAAGCTTGCCTACTTCCATTTTGAATCAATATACTAAAATCTAACATATCTAAAATAAAGAAGATCACCTTGGTGATAACTGGGCACCTCTGACATAATAGCCATAAAGACTATAGATTCATCTGCGAATGTCGTGTTTTTTTAGCAGAAAAAGCAGCTTGCATTGAAAGTTTGATATTTCAAACACTTTACGCCGTATATATAGGTACATAGAGTCAAAATTACCGTTCAATAAATGATAACAGAAAAAAATAATCCTAATAGTAATGAAATACTTAAAGAGGTTTTAATAATTAGTGTAAAGTTGAATAAAACAAAACAAACATAAACCAAATACACAATCATTCATTTATCACTTTATAAAATTTATACGTGGGTGTGTAACACGATATCGCTGCAGTGTTTCGTGGTAGTATGCTTTTTATGCCTATGCTAATTAATTAGGTCTCGTTTTAATAAGTCAGCGTAATTTTATACTGAATTTAAAATGTAATGACTCAAATTTTGTGAAAATAATTGATAATTATATAGTTTTTTTGCAAATAATGACATACCTAACTAGTATTATGTCCAAATATAGGTATATATTACATATGTACATTTGTTTATCGTTATTTTTATTGCGTGGAAATAGACATGTGAAAATACCTTTAAGATGTATTTTCGGTAAAACAAGTTAGAAGACATTGCATAAATGATTCATTATAAGTGGTTTGTTTACTTTTCACCTCTATACCTATTTATTTACTTAGAATCTAGACAGTCAGGTACATAATCTACTCATAAAGTCAGATAATAAATAATGGTTCTGAAACTTTGTGTTTATACGTCATTGGTGGTAATGAACTATAAGGACCATCTGAAGGCATATTGAAATACGCTTCTTGAAAATCCCAATAGTTTTTAGAGAAAAACTTGATATGTAGTTCGTATCGCAATATAACGGTTTTTCTTGCTATTGAAAGCACATATTTATAAATTTCTTCAGAATTTAGATATTAGATAGAGATATTATA